CCCAATCTCCGTCACCGCGAAACAATGCGGCTCAGGCGAACAATGAACAGCCTGTACCGAACACAGAAGTAGGTCTCTTTTTCGTGCCGCTTCTCTCCTTTTCGTGTATGCATTGTGCTCTTCCCGGATCTCTTACGCGTGTTCATCTTCTGTTATAGGTTCATTCCTCGTATCTATGATTCGTTTTCGTTAGATACAAAATCGATCATGTGTATGTGATTAGGTCGTTTTCACCTACAGCGACAATTCGGAATTGTCATGCATTACTATTTTTGTAGGTTCGTTTATTTATCCTTTGTATTTTCCTACATCCATGTTCCACCGTCCTTTACAATAAAATATATTGTAACTTAGGAAAGAAAACCTGATCAGTTCTTCTCAAACGCTCATGTATGTGCATGTGAAGTTGACCTCACCAACCATCATCTTTTCACTTATTCCATCCCACTCCCTATTGCATCCATCCGTTCACTTAGTTATCTGCCAATGATTATCAGAATGCATTGCATAACGCCGCCTACCCGGATGACCTTGAGCACGTTGCCCTCTCGGATCGACTGACTTGTGCAATCGATCTCGGCGATGGAGTATTCGAATTGGCTCCGTCCGCAGAACTGTCTAATGGGGCCGATACTGAATTCGCAACTCCCAGCACTATGATGTCATCGAGTTTTCATTCCACTCGCACCAACCTGTCCAATCGTAGTGAAGCCGCTGCGAACTGGTTACATGCACCATCGGCAGATGAAATGAATCAGTCCTCGAGCCGCCCGGATGAGCTAGGTGCAACTCCGACAACTGGCAAAGATCATTGGCTTGCTCGTCGTCGTGCACGGTGTGATTCGAGTTCGGTAGAACGACAGGGTAAGTTTACGCCCTTCCGTTTACACGTCATGTTAGTCGTCTTTTCAAAATTTGCTGTCATTTAGATATTGTGTGTGTGTGTGCGCTATCTTGTCTAGAGAAAGTTGAGTGCATATTGCGCGAAAGATGATCTCAATTTTTTTTCTCTTCGAATGTATAATAACGGTTCTTGTGCATCAGAAACTGATGTACTTCGAAATAAGTAAATATTTTTCTAAAAATTGAATGTTGCGATGAGCCTGGAGCTGAGAAAAATTCACCCGATGTAGCCAGTGCACGGGGTTTTTAGCACCCGTCTAATGAGTGGATCTGACAGACTCATCTGTCAGTTGGCTATTGGAGCTGACATTATAAACCCTAATTTGAGCTGGTGGACAGTGAATCTTAATTCGTTTTCTGCGGAATTAGAAGAACTGCCTTCGCGTGTTAAACCTGGCGACAAGTGACGTGCAAAGTCCCGGTTCCGAAGCAATGAAAACTAAGACTGTCTCGTGATACGGTACTATTGATGCGAATAATTGATGACATGATAAATAATAAACAAACCTTGATTTGTGAGGTTAGGACAGTCGTCAAGGCACTTCCAGACACAAGTGCATCAAATAGGAATATGACAGCGCTCTGCTGTGTCGAAATACACCTTACAATCAAGGTGCTGCAAAAGGGGACAGCTCACTGTTGTGTTAAAAAGAGAATATGATCAAAATATACTAAGTCAAGCAAAATAAGTCCAGTCAGGCAGTGACATGAAGCTCCCAAAAGATGAGCCAATCGTAAGAGAGTTGGGCGCACACAATTCGACCTCTCAACAAACGGTGGCATGTGTGTGTGTGTGTGTGTGTGTGTGTGTGTACATGAACAGGTGACTCCCGAGGAGCTATCAAAACAGGTCACATGTGCGTAGGTGGTTAAATAATCGATAATGATCAGCCGTGAACCGGTACAAAACAAGGGTAGACGGAACATAGGTCAACCAATAGTAAGGGACAATGGAGGTCACAAGACAACTCGTGTGATTGAAGT